ATCACAACCAAACAGGCTCTTAGTTATGTGCTCCAAATTGAGGGGAAAATTATTATTATTATCTTTCAGGCGATGTCATTCAGCGTCCATCTTAATTATTTCTTTCTTAGTTTTGAGTTTAGACTTGATGAGAAACTCGTGTGTGTTCCTAGAGGAGACTTCTCTTGAATGCTAATGTGACAATTGAATCGTGGCAATCGACAACATCTATTCGTCAAGCATCTCCCTAGTCGCAATCAATATCGAAGCTCATAAATGTGGAATGGATCAAGGATCAATGACTAACGCGAAACATATCTTAAATTTAGATAATTAATTTAAAACATAATAAAGTTTAGCGATCAAATTTAAAATATCCCTATAATTTTAGTGGCAGGTCGAACATCTTACCCTACCATCTCACCTAGTTTCCTCCATCTCAAAACGTCAAGCCTTCACATATAAGATGTTCATGGGTCATCATCCCGTTGGGCTCGTGCAACCTCTTAGGTATCACGAGATTTAGTCGTATTATCATTCGGTTTTGTCTCAAGGGTGGTCTTAATAGGCTAGTTACAATTTTTTTTTATAAGTAGAGCCAAATTGATATTAACATTTGATAATGATGATATTGCTGCACTAAGAGCATCTTTAACACGTTCAATAAATTGCAGTATATGTGAGATTCAAATAGAAGGACTTTTAGTCTTTGAGGTTAAGAGCATATATAAAAGATTCTTTAAATATAAGACGTTCTCTATTTTAAAGAGTATCATTAAAATTATGTTTCAAGAAACTCTTTAAATTAACATTTTACAATTATGACTCTCTAAACTTGAAGGGTTAAACTTACTCTTTATAATTAAATGTATTCTGACTTTTTCAATTTTCAATGGAGAAAATAATATATTAATAGTCCGTTTAACCCCCATTAATTATAATTCATTTTTCTATTTTTTCTTATTAACCACACATTTTTCAATAAAGTAATATTATTCGTAAACCCAAAGACCTTTCCTTCTTTTTTAACCACTCATTTTCTAAAAAATCTCTATTCCTCTTATTATACTATGGAATAATGGAGGACCAAACGA